CGAGGCTACCAAAAAAATTAAGTGACCTTCACTAGAGAAACTGGGGGGTTTGGCTGGGGGTTTATAGGCTTCTTAAATGCATCCGTGTAGTCTGCAGTACGTTAGCAATCAGGAAGGAGAAAAACTCTCTCAGTTTTACTCAGTCTGGGTTTTAAGGCTGCAGAGTTATTTCAGACTTCCCCACTGTAAGCTTGTCCTCTGGAACTCGACCTGTACGGATTTGTGCGTATCATTCCATAGCTCGTTGAATCCTCACTAGTGAGCCTCTAGGCCTATGCCAGGAGATGGGAATACACCTTCAGTAGGAGAGGTCCAAATGGCAGAGTGGAAAAATCTTACTTCCTAGACGAACCTCCTTCCCTTATCCCCATGGATCCTGTTGCCAGTGTGCCGTCTGCTTTCTACACCACAACAGCCGCTGTCCCGCTAGTACCCCAGGTTAGCTGAGGGAATGTCGCGTGACCAGCCACCTGGGAGCCTGCTACAGTTCCTCCCAGCATCTGCTGAGCACTCGTGGTCAGATGACCCTAAACTCTCCTGACAAGATCTGCTCTGTCGTCTCGAGTCCCAGTTTGCATCTGGATTTACTAGTTGGGTTGGTTTTTTGCCTTTTTTTTTTTTTTGGTTTGTTTTGTTTTTCCCCAGGTGCTGTAATGTCCATGTGGATGAACGAACAGTGCAACAGTGTTATTACAGGAGGGGAAGACAAACAAATCATGTTCTGGAAATTGCAGTACTAAGAAGTGCCTTTCCCTCCAGACAGTTGAATGAACTCTGCATTTTAAACCAAACCTTTTAAAGGAACTTAACTGTGTGCAATGATGGCTGCGGAAGCTCAGCCAGATCGGAAGCTTTGCTCACCTACGACTCTCTGTGTTACGGTGACTTCACTGAGAGCTCTGAACTTCCTTAGTGTAGGCATTCGTTTTTCATGGACTGTCATACAGAAAGTGCTTGTCTAAATCATATCGGAGATGAAATTAAACTATTTTTCTGTAATTAAAAATCTCTGAACTTGCAGTCATTGTTTGATTTAAGTAGAAAGCACGGTAGCTTGCAGTTTGAACTGCTTACAAAGCAGCAGCGTTTGCGTGCTTAAGAAGCCGTTAAGGATGCTTGCAACCTGTGTCTCGTGACAGTGTGCGTACCCCTCCTGCGGCCAGACACGACCACAGCAAACACTGCTGTGAGCACTGAGGTCACTCCAGTCTGCTACCCAGCCTCCAAATGGGGCTGTTTGCAAGGCAGAGAGAAGAATAAGAACATATTCTGCATTGCTTTTTCCTACTGAAAACCAGCACACATGTATTAGCCTGAAAGGAAGGCAGGCGTAAAGCTGGTGCCCAATAGCGAGCAGTTACACGTACATGTAATGTGTCGACACAAATCTTCCCCTAATAATGTGCCTCAAGTAAGTCTGGTGCTGTGCTACTGCTGACGTTATCACTTCTGTTGCTATCCTTCCCTTCTATCAGCATCTTCACGTTCTGTTTGGTGTTCTTGACCTCTTCCAACCGCCATCATCTTTGAGGTGCAAGTTAAAGATGCTTTAAAACTGCTGCAGCTCCTGAGTTTATCCAAATCCCTTGTTGCCTTGACCCAGGGGCAAAGCAGTGTGGCACTAGGCTTACTTTCTCTGTAGGGATCACAGACACGATTTCCTGCAAGGACTTTGCAAGGCAAAGACTTGAAATAGTCCCGACATGTAACCAACACCTGCTTTGAGCACAGCTCCCCCTCTTTAGCCTTGTGAAACAGCTGGTTCATGGTTAAGGGCTCTTTTGTCAAACCCCTGATATTTTTGTTATGTTGGACTTTGAACTTATTTTTATCTATCTTATTTAATGGTGTGGTGTTAAAGCAAACTGGGCTTTCAGCTGCATTTCCCACCTGGCTTAGCAAATACCTGAATTTTTATGGAATTAGTGAGTGTGTGGTGAAGGCACACGTAGCAGAAGACGGAGCCATACTGTGTGTGCCTGCTGTCATCAGTCTCGCAGCAGTCTGCCCTCTTTGTTATCTCTATTTCCCAAATATGTCTGTGTGCAGAGAAAGAGAGGAAAAGCACATTCTACACTTGCCTGGAACTGGCTTTGGGAATTTCTGAATTGTGGTTAAAGCTTTTGTTGTGTTGTTTGAAGCGTGCCCATCACTGCTCATTTACCCCACCCCACTGTGTTAATCCCTGGCCCACAAAGCATAGGCATAACTTGTTTCACCTCCTGGCGCATCCTCCTTCCGTGTCCTGCTCAGACGCACCTCCACAACCCAAGTTGTAACCTGACATGCTTGACAGTTGCAAAAACACTGCCTGAGCAGGAACCTGCACCCCTCTGCACCTCTTTTCTCATGCACAGATCTGGGTAAGAGGGCCCCAGCTGTCAGCCTTTGGCACCAGGAGTGCCTACTACTGAGCTAAGCAACTAGAGCTCCAAGGCACACTGAGGGTTGCCTTCCACCGCAGAGCACACCCACAACACCCTGCCCTTGGCCAGCTGCTTCCTTGTTACAGCACCCTCAGCTCTTCAGTGCAGGGGAGGGGAAATCAATAACCCCACTACTATGTGTGCTGGGTGGTTGGTGGGGTAGATGCCTGCAAACAGAGACCTGTATGTTCTTCCAGCTTTACATTTACCTGCATATATACATACATTTAACCCTATCTTACCCATCAGAGCTTTTCTGCTTGAAAACAGGAGTGTTTTGATTAGTTCTTTCACTTGTGGTTGCTACCTGCCACAGCTAAAAGGAAAACACCAGGTACTTGTACTGAAGTTCCACCTATTTCCAATGGATCTCCCGTGCAGCTACAGCTACCTGGGAGCTGGAGTAGAGTGGAGTGTTCTTCCAAGGCAAAAAAGAGGTTGGAGGAACATGCTCACAGAGGTTTACTTGAAGTTTTGGGTGGAGCTGTGAGGTTTAGGTGACCAGACCCCACAGTAATAGGTTTACTTAAATCATGGGTTTTAAGAGCTTGAGCAGGTGCAGAACTGGCTCCTGCTTGATCACCTGCTCCCAGGCAGAGATCAGCATTTCAGTAACACTGTCTGGGGCTCCAGGGATGTTCTGGCTGAGTGAACCCGCTTGCCCAGGAGCTCGGAGAGATGAGCGCTGCAGGCCGCAGGTCCTGTGCCCACAGCCTGCATCACGCCAGCGCTACACGGAGTCACCCCTTACCGCCGCCGAGTGCTGCCACAGTGGTTCCAGAGGCACATCACTGAGTAACCAAACGCTCCCAGGTAAGTGGCTCCAGGGATTAAGGTGGTTGCCACTGGAGCCTGGAGTAGCACAGGGGTTTTGTTACTGCAACTGAGAAATTCATCTGAGGCACAGGAAGCTACAAGACAGACTCCTGCCAGTCAGTGCCGAGCTTACAGGGTTAACTTTAGCAGTACTCCTAGGCTGCAGCTCAGATCCACCACGGAAGTTCCCATCTTTGCTTCTCCTACAAACTAGCTCCACTTATCAATAAGTGAGACTCTTGCACGTGAGACTAGTGCAGAGCGCCAAGCTGTGAGCTGTTTGCTTTTTTTGGTGAGCTCTGTAGTCATCTTCTGAAGTATTATTTCACCATCCCCAGACCAATTCTGGATCCAAGTTAATTCTGAAAGAATAGCTGAACTGACACCCTACACCCACCTTACCACAAGTAATACCCATCTTAAACTGTAATTGCTTTGGCTTTTGGGCTCCTGCCCACTACTGAGGAAGAACGAAGTTCAGTAATCCTAGACTGTGTAGCTGGAACTGAGGACAGAGAAAATAAAAAGGAAATCACTTGCCCGAACTTGTATTTAACCTCAAATCACTTTGCTTTATAAGTCAAGTCTCAGCTGAGCAAGCCTGTGGCCTATTGTGATGGGTTGACCCCAGCCAGCAGCTGAGCCCCCACGGTTTCTCCCTCACCCACCTCACAGCAGAACGGGTAAGAGAAGCAGAAGGGCACCGGCTAGGGGAATTGTGGGTTGCAGTAACAACAGTAAACTAAGGGAAGAGAAAAAAAAAAAATGTGAAAAACTGTGATGCATAAACTAAGGGAAGAGAAAAAAAAAATGTGCAACACTGTGATGCAAAGGCAATCACAGGCCCCAGCCGACCGATGCCCAGCCAGCCTCCAAGCAAGAACTACTTTGGAACGTTAGAAAGACTCCCCCTAAGTTACTGCTGAGCACGATGGCAAGTGGCAGGGAATTTTTCTTCAGCTAGTTCAGGCACAGACCCAGCTGTGGCCCCTCTTGGCTGGTCCCTCTTGGCCACCCCCAGGGTGCAGGGGCCAGCGTGAGAAGCAGAAGAGACCTTGACAGTGTGCAAGCACTGCTCAGCCACAGAAAACACATTTATCACTTAATGATTTAAAATCATTTTCTCACAGCTTAGGCACGACTCTCAGTTACTAGGAAAAAAGTGAACTCCACCCCAACCAGCCCCATACACCCAGCAAGCTGCAAGCAGTTTGCAACCACACAGTATGTCCCATAGAACGGGCAGGAGCATGGCAAACCTTGTCTGCGGCATCCCAGATCGACCCTGCCGAAACATTTCAACATTGTAGGCGGTAGCTGGATCAGAGAGCTGGTTTAGGCTGTCTCCTATCTTCCTGTTTGGAACGGACCTCCACCCAACAAGCCTGGCTCAGCTCACCTGAAGGACACACGCACACAGTTACCTAAAGTTTGTCATTTATTTGGTTATTTCTGAATCCTCAAGAACATGGTTAAGGCGAGAGAGAAGCGTATTAGTTACGAGTTGTGTAACAAGTAATAAAAAGACTTGAGTATCTGTACACTACTTCTATGGAATACGCTTACTTACTGAATGATGCCTT